CGGAATCGGCGCCTTTCTGCTCGCGCCCATCTCAGACGTGCTGGTCAAACGATTCGGTTGGAGGGGTGCGTTGCTCTTCCAAGCAGGTAATCATATCCATTTTTAATAAATCCTTCATCTATTTGGTAAATTTAAATGTGTTAATAAAATGACGTCATTTGTATCTGATTAATTATCTATAATATTATATAATAATAATACTTGAGAATCACATTTTTTTTAATATTATATTACTGTAATTTTATATCGGGTATTTTTTTATCTTATCATTATTCTAGTATTAGAATAGAAATAAGAAATGCTAATTAAATAATGTTTTATATAAGAATAAGTTTAAAAATGTTTTCGTTATTCTTTATCTTCAAAATAGGAATTTCATTTCTTGGCAAAGTTCGAATATTATTAAAAACTTTATAATATATGAGATTTTACGCTTACCTTAACGCGTTCATTTCTTTTTTAAAGGTTGGAATATCGTTTCAATTCAAGATTGATATAAAGCCTCTTCCTTTTATGGTATCAAAGAAGCAAAAAAAAAAAAAATTTCACGTATATATAATAGAGAAGTCTTTTGATTTAGACGCTCTCGTTGCAAATATTGCAGGAATGCTATTGAATTGCTCCATTTTCGGCGCCATGTTCCGTCCACTGAAACCAACACGGATTAAAGTAAAATCCACCCCGGAAAACGCTGGTTTAGAAGTAAAAAATAGCTTGATAGGAAGGGGAGTGTCCATGGCATCATTACACTGTGTCCAACCAGAAAGAAGTGGTTTCTTTGGAACAAACAACAATACAGATTATCCCACTGCCGCAGAATTACTTGGAAGCAACCCCAACATAGTAAAGTAATAATAAAATCTTCTATTTTTACTTTGCATTCTTATAATTTCCAATTTTATTATTTGAAAAAAAATTCATTTCCAATTCTTGTATTAAGAATTGCTAAAGATTATAAACTATTACTTAATAGATTATATTGAAGAGAATTGAAAGAAAGATTCCAAGATAAAAGAGATGAGTACAATAAAACTGATCAATGTTTATATAAATTTTCACAATAGATCAATATGATTTTTCATTTATAGAAATTCATATATATATATTTTAATGAATGCTGCAATGAATTAATCTTTAAAGACGTAAATATTTCCAATTATATTATATCTATTAAATATTACTATTAAAAATTTCATTCACATAAATGAAACTCCATTGTAAATTATAGAGAATGTATAATAATTATAAAAGTTTCGTTTGTAAAGATTGTAGTGTCTTATTTAATGTTCTGTGAAATGCACGCTGAACTTAAAGGGGAGTAGGTAGTTTAACAAGCTCTCGACGAACCGAGACTAAAAAAGTTGTAAGTCGGTAAACTCATAAAGATACAAGAGACATTAAACTGCGAACGAGAATAAGGGGGTAAGTTTTTGAGTCGAGTGATGATTTGTGAAACTTTTTATTGCAGCGCTTCCAAGTCTCTACATTCTCTTCACAAGATTCATGTGGAGCTACGAACCCTAGAGAGAAAGTTGAGCAACTCTGAGAAACGACTGTCAGTCCCGATATATCCAGAGTTGGACATGAATATAGATGAAAAAATCGTCGAGGAGGAGAATAATCTCCTCGGTGGAGATGTTGAAAGACTGAATGGCAAAGTGCCCACGGTGAGTATAAAAACTCCCATTTTACATTATCCTGTTTTAACGTTTTATGTTCCTAAGTTAAATCAACGTAAAAATTCGAGCGAACTCACTAGGAATATCCATGGATTTTTCTAAAATTAAGCATCCTTGGTATACAAGAAATATTTAGAATTAAGATCAATATTGAATAATTTTATTAAATACTTTTTAAATATTAAATTGTAATTCTTTTTTATTTCTAATTTATTTCTAATTTTTTTGAAAATAATAATCAATTAGAAGTAATTAGATAATTAATGTAATTATATATCGTAACGTAAGAGTGTAACTCTAATTGTGCAAAAGTTTTGAAAAAAGATGGGATATATATTTTATATCGAATCGTAGAAAGAGATTCAAGTGTTAGAAAGATCAACAATTGGTTATAATAATATATTCGAGAGAATATGTGCGTTTTGCGGACAGGATGGAACGATTTCTGTGCCAGGAGGATTCATTTAGCCGCAATAACAGTACGTTCTGGTTAAGTAAGTAGAGGAAATTGTTTGGCAGATTCGCAGGCACACGATCAGCGGTAGACGACAGCGCGCGGACTCGGATTGTAGCCAGAAATCGTTGAAGATGGGCAACAGGCGTAACCCATTTAGCAAGGATCCTCAGAGACCGTTCTACAGGGATGATATCTTTTATGGCGGATCTCTAAACAGGTTGCCACATTACAAATCTCAGGTAAGAAAGTATAAGAAGCCGAATGTGTAGAAGATAAATATTTCAAATATTTGGTAAGAAGCGAAAGAGGCGAGCGTAAGATAAATATTTTAAATTCCGGAAAGCAGTTTCTTTTCCATGAATAATAAAAAGATCCGGATATTTGAATAACGAAACATTGAAACACGGTGGAATATTTTTAAAAAATTGAAACTTTGATCTAATTAATAATTCCAGACTTTTCTAATATTCAAAGTAGATAAATTTAGAAACGATCTGTGCAGCAATCATCCGTTGGCTATCACATGTCCGTCACGCGTTTGCCGACTGCAACGGATGTCGCCGAGCAAGAAAGCGGAAGTTGCTACATTTGTCCAGAGAGCGTACGTCGAATTCTTACTACTATGCTCGATATAAGCCTGCTGAAGAGCCCTTCTTTCTTGATCCTGGCCATCTCTGGTGGGCTCACGATGATGGGTTTCTATACACCCTTCATGTACGTTCCAGGTATCGTATCGAACCGTTACGTAAATCTTTCGTATCTCTAAAAATTTTCAAGAAAAATAAAAAATCATAAATATTTCTTCTATCCTTTGGAATATTTAAAAGACGTCGAAAAAAAGAAAGAAAGAAAGAAAAATCGCAATGTTTCATTTTTAAAATAAACCAAGTGCCAAATGGAAAAAAAAAAAATGAAAAAAGAAAAAAAACAAGTAACACTGATCGATTCTTTTGTACAGATCGAGCCCAATTGGCAGGCATCAAGGCCTCTACTGCTATGTTCCTCGTATCTGTGATTGGTATCGGCAATACCATTGGTCGTGTAGTGTGCGGATTGGCCAGCAGTTTGCCAGGAGTTAACGCTTTGGTCGTCAACAATATATTCATCAGCGCTGGTGGCCTTTTGACCATTTTCTCCGGACTGTCGCTCAGCCAGAGCTTTCAGTTCTTTTACGCTGCTGGGTTTGGCATTAGTATATGTAAGCATAGATAGACCGGTTTACTATTTTAACACGTTCCAATTCGATACATGCGATCGATTAGAATCACATTCCTTTCCTACCTTTAAAAATTATTTCTTACAATTGGCAATATCTAAAAGTCGAATTCAGAATAGAGAAAGATTGTTCAATGTTTCTATTTTCAACCATTAAACCAAATATCAAAAGGTAAAAATGAAACTACTGATCTTGTGCTTCGAAATCTTTTAAGATTCTTTTTTCCATCCATTATTTCTATCGAAAAATTTAATCGCTTTGCAGATAAATGTGTGAAAAAGTCGTGGAAATTAAATTTTAAAACCGACGACGTTACTTTTCCAGCTGTCTTCGCCTCTCTGCGATCGATTCTCGTGGTGGATCTTTTGGGATTGGAGAAATTAACCAATGCTTTTGGACTGCTTCTTCTGTTTCAAGGTGTGGCGGCCGCCATTGGCGCGCCTCTCGCAGGTGATTAAAAAAATATTGATCAACAGGGTTTAATTATTTAATTCATAAATCATCGTTTCGTATTTATTGCACGGAACGCTTGCTATTCTTCGCTCAGGTGTCTTCATGGACGCAACCGGAAGCTACGAGTCCTCGTTCTACCTGTCCGGCAGTTTAATCCTTCTCTCGGCTGTGATCTGTTATCCCTTGAAGAGGGTTAATCTATGGGAGACGAAGAAGAACGCCGACAAGATCAGCGACGACCCGTCCTAGTCCTAGATCGACATCCAACGCCAAACAGAACGCCGTAGACTGAAGTCTATTACGTATTCTCGTTGTCGGTCGCCGTGTGTGTTTGTACATACTAACGCGTAAATAATTTATAACACGACTGTTCGAATCGGTGATTAATTCGTGCCGATATTGACGTAATCATCGCGAACAGCAGAGGGGTTCCATTCGCGTTTTATCTTCGAATTTACATCGATGTTCGAGATTAAACAGGACGCATTCAGCGAAATCATCCATCAAAATCATACAGCAGATCATGCGAATCGATTAAAGCCTTCATAGAGAGAATCATTTCGAATCATCAAACCAAGCAATCGAATTCCTTTTCAAAATTAATCATTCTCCTGTTTAATCGTGGCGAAATTATCCTGTTTTGGGTCTACCATAAATATTTTGGGCGAGTGCAATAGATTTCGTGGACCCACGAAAGGGGAGGAATACCGTCCAGATTTTTCATTTGATTCGAAGTTAGTTTTATGGGAACGCGAATTTGACGCATCCTAGGTCAAGCTTTGCATTTTCATGAAACGATCCTTTCATATTACACCACGTATTACACGATTCATCGTCGTTTCACATTTATTCACCGACGTATCTCGCGACGAATGGTCGGCAATCGTGGGAGTTTTTTTAGATCCTTCGATGATAAATATCGTTACGCGCCGTTTTATGTTTCCACGCAGAGATTTTTTTTTTTTTTATCGTGACTTTACCTAAGTTACTCCTTGGGACGATTAATCGTCGATCTTAATCGTCAAATTTAATTTGAAACGAGATTTTGGAATGTAAGAAAGAAGATTATGAGATCTTCAAGTTTATATTTTATCTCGATCTATTTTTGCTAGGATTCTACATATACGAACTGCCATACGTATAATTCTATAATTAATAACTTAATTGTGTGTTACAGTGGCGATCATATTTCTTTAAACCGAGTTCTAGGAGTAGTTTGTATCTCTTGAAGGCATTATGCGTATATTGTTGATGAATCGATCAGTCTTCCATTTTTGGAATCTATCTTGTAAAACACGTTTCATAAGAGACGCGCAAATGTACGGCGAAGGCGTATGTACTTGCATAAACGAGTACACGTAATCTCGATAGATCGTGCTGTTACTTCTAGCATCGATCAATTATTAAACCAACATTTCGGCGGCGTGGGCCATGGGGAATGTTTGGTCGATCCTTAGGTGTTAAGGACTTGCTCAAAAATAAAATCCGTTCCTACTGTTCCTAATTAATTATACTAGTATTGTTTCTTCTTGTTCTTTCGTTTGTTTTTTGTTTCTTTTAGAATCGTTGGGCGTGTTGATCCACGTGAGTGAATCGTGACGTTTGTTAAGCGTTAAATTGTTAAGAAAACTATTTGTTATTTTTTTTTTTAATTTAACTCGTTATTTTTTAATTTAAAAAGCCGATTGTAAAACGATATTGTAAGAAGATATAAATATTCTTATATATTCGTAAAGTCGTTTGGATAAACAAAAAATAAACGAAGATTTTTATTAAAGTTCAATACGAAAAATATTAAAATTAAACCAAAGTTATAATTGGGTTAGATTAGACCCGATAGAAAGATCAAAATGAATCTACGAGCATGTCGTAACAGGTGGAAAATAATTCAAAAAATTCAGAGAATTGAAACCAACGTAATAAAATAAAGATGTAATCCAGTTTTAATACAGGATTCTCCTCCCGGAGGAGAGATATCTATTTGTTACGATACACATCCCACATTTTAATTTTAGGGAGCACGAACGAAAAATCGATACTGGTCAGAGTACGACAGTAATATCAATGATCTGAACGCAAGTTTTAAATTTCGATATTAAAAAAAGAAAAAAAAATATGAAAAGAGAAAAAAATCTAAGAGATCGAATATTTTCCACGCAAGCTCAAATATTATGCATGATACACGATATCGAAAGATTCATTTTAAATAACACATTAGTTATCAAATATAGAATATCATAATAGAATCGTGTTTTACAGAAAAGAATTTCAAATAGAATAGACAAATTCGTTTTACATATATATATAAATCCTTAATGGCGTGCTCTCCACGTGGTATACGCTTCGTGCTCCTAAATGATGGCCAAGGAACATTGTTACACAAATATGTAAATTTATTAAATACTATTAGATTATGAGAGAAAAATACAGTGAAACTTGAATTCATATGCCTCTTGTTTTGCCACTCCTATTCCCATGATTTAGTTACGACGTAATATTACTTGCAAACGTTATAAATTATTTATCAACGAATCGTAAATATGATGTGATACGATCATTGAAACTCTTATCGTAACAAATATGCTTGATTTTCTTCTCTTTTATTGTTAATTATAAACTGGAAGTATGGGATAAAATTTATCACTTTTCACGTTGATTTTATTGCGCCTGATCAATGCGAAACTATTCGTTAACGGATCCTGAAATTGTCTTTTTCTAGATATATATCACGCGTATTATCTCGTTTTAACGATTCCAAGGATGAGGATGACGTTGTCATTTTCACGAGTTCTCGTTTTACGATCCAGATTGAACGATTATGAATCGTTTCGAACGGATGGATGGGCCTTTTCCTGTCATTTTGAAGGATATTGAAGATCGTAACGATCGCTTTTTTTTTCACGGGACGTTTTATCTTCCTTATTTTCCCTTCCGAGTCTTTATTTTATTCGTTTTTTATTAGTTTTCATTTTAAAAGCATTTAGAATACGTTCTTTCAAGATTCTTTTCTTTCTAACAACGAACTCGATAATGTGAATCGTTCTATAGTTCAAAAAAATTTTTTTTTCCAACTATCCAATTACTTCAAAATATGATAGATAATAATATTTTAAATTCGTCCTCTTTTCATTTAATTCTTTTTTTCATTTAAAAAATGAATTAGAAACATCCTTCGAATAATTTTGAAAATTTCAATAAGATTCTCCTTTAAATTACACATACTTTTAAATAAAAAATTTCTATAACCAACAAAAAAAAATTACAAGAACCAAGTGCATAATACATCATCTTAAAATTGTAACTCTCTCGTATATCTCGAAAGGGTTAAATTGCAATAGATACGTTAAAAGCAGGGCAGGCCGTCTTAAGGTAAAATTTATGCCGCTAACAGTCTAGTTTCCTATGCAGATCGATATCACTCGCATCAGTGCGTGTTAGGATAATGAAGCTGCAGTGATACCATTCGCCGAAACGTCGAAACCATTTTCCACGGATAATTCATCCTCGCCAAACCGAGCCGTGTTTCCTAATCTTCCAACAAATCAACCAAATCGAAAATTTACTCGCTCGCGATTTCGAGGATCAAATCGTTCCCTTCGTCCGCTCTTCATTTTCATCTTCCGAAACGGGATCCAAATTCCTTCGAGAGATCTTCGTTTTCGAAATTTGGTGTCACGGTGTCGCAGCTCGTCGAGATAAGTTCAAAGAAGAAGGCCACGCGGTAAGACGTGTGTTTAACGAACGGCAATAATTTATGCCTAGGCACGAGTGCAAAAAAACTCGTTGCGCTCTTCCCACGGCGACTTGGGAGGCAATGAGCGAACTCATAAATACCCGAAAGGATGGCAATTCGCTTTTACGGCCGAGGGCCCGGTTGCAACCCTCCCAATTGCTTTTTTCCGAACGCTATTGCCGCGTTCCACTCGGCGAGATGATTGAAAAAAATGCGGCGCATCCCTCTTTAAAACGAGGAATCCGCGCGGATTTCCGGCGAATCGTGGCCAATTGGTCCTCGAGACGTATCCCGATTGGCTGCCCTCTTCCAGGATTCTCTCCTTCGCGATACTACTCGCGAGATAAAATTGGCTCAACTTCGCGGGTGTGCATCTTTTACGCGCCTTTTTTTTTTTTTACGGATAAACTCGGATGAAATTCGATCGAGCCGATCCTCCCTCCTTGTCGTGGTTGGGAGGAAAGGCAACGATCCAGGTGAGAGAGGTGGTATTGCCCTCGAGAAGTCGATTAAGAATTCGTCTGCCCTCCGAGTGACCCTCTTTTTTTCAGCATCCATTGAAACAGGTTAAAAAATCAGTTTTTAGATAGAATGCTCGATATTCATATTTTCTTGAATCTCAATTAACGAGCCGATCTTTTCAAATAAAATTCTCTCTCAAATTGGATGCGCGTGTGCCTTGCCTCAAAATTGATTCGATATTTTTCATGTATTTTCGAACAATAATGTAACATCGTATCCCACGAATTGCAATCTTTCTATACAATAGCCCTTTCTTCAACGAGTGCCAATTATCCAACCTCTTTACGAAAGCGTAAACCGCACTTTAAACCATCCCCGAAGTATCTTTTTCGCCTATTCAACCGGTCCCTTTTATATATCCCATGGAATCCTCTCGCCTTCCTATTCTGCAGAAGGAATTGAAGAAAGGACAAACACGGGAGAATGAATAAAGAATAAAGGAGCGAAAAAAAGGATAAAAAGTGGAAAGTGCGAGAAGCCAGCTAGAAGTATCAAGCGGTGGAGGAGGAAGGTGGTGAGAGAACGCGAAGAAGGCAAGGGTGAAACACGTTGAAGAAACGAGAGTCGACTTTCACGGCGGTGTGTCTCGAAGGCAGAGCGGGGTCTCTGCTTCCGACTGCAGATACATTGCGACATGGAACTAGGGGTTAGTGTAGGGGGGTTTCGTGGCGGCGCGAGAGGGGTGAAGGGACCGGCGACGAGGGTGGTGGGTCGCTCGGGGCTCGAAAGGGGGATGAAATGCGCCGCGACGCGCTGCGGCGAAGCCAGACGGAGACGGACTCAGTTTCTGCTCCGCATCCGCAGCATCCTCCCTCTCTGTTCCCCTCTCTTTCCCAACTTCCCTTCTTCGCATCCTCTTCCTTCATTCTTTCTCTCCCTTCCCCACCCGAAACGACTTTTACTCCGGTTCCTCCTCCTCCTCCTCCTCCTCCTCCCTCCTCCCTCCTCCCTTCTTCCTTCTCTTCTTCCGGCTCTGGCGTGTTTCCCTTTTCCACGCGCCCGGTGTTTCGCTCTCTTTCCCTCCCTCTGTTTCCGTCTCTCTCTGTTTCACCCCCCGCGACTCAAACCACCGCGGTCCAGTCGAGTGTCGGCTCGTATACCGAACGGTTCACCTCGTGGCTCGTTCGTTTCGCAGCTGCGTGACGTTTAAATAAAACGTTCGTTCGGCTGTTAAGGATCCATTGCCTGCCGGCTTCCTCCACGTCAAACGCGTTGTTCGAGATCGAAAGGATCGACGGGGATGACGAGGAGGTTCTATCCGACTGGTTGGTGGCAGGCAACGCGACCAGTGTAAAAGCCAGCGACCGGGATCCACGTGGTGTTGACGTGAAAGGTAGAAGGGATACTTTCACCGGTAAAGGGTGGAATGGGATTCGAAGGTGCATTGCTATTGGATGGCTTGACCAATACGAGTTTCATGTTCGAATCGCATTTGTTCGTAGCGTGTGTATGTACGTGTGTATGTGTGTGTATGTGTGTGTGTGTGTGTGTGTGCGTGTATGTGAGAATATTGGAGGTGGTATTCTTGAAGAGTTTATACATGGTATAGTGTTTAGAATGAGAAAAAAATTTGATTATTGTTTGCGTTGATATGTATGTTTCCTTGAAATTTTATACGCTAGCATGTTGGACGGGATGATTTATAATTTTTTTCAAACTTCCGTAAAATATATTGTTGCACGTGATTGGAAAATAAATGTTGGATATTCGTTTCTTTAGCGATACACTCGAATAGATATAATCGAATAAAGTATTTTATTCTTTTATTATTTTTATGAGAAAATCAATATACAAAATATTTCTTTTCATTTTTTGAGATATCAATTTTCACATTTCGAAAAAGTTATTTTCTTTAATTATCTAGAGAAATAAATAGACCTAGTTTATGCTGTTTCTAACAAGAGAAGAAGCATCTCATCTTATTAGACTCTAGTCTCTTCAAGCTTTTCACCCCAATATGTAAAACACGAAGAAAGAAACAAGAAGAAACTCTATGACCGAAGAAACACTCATCGCGAACTCATTCTTCCTACCAACGAAAATTTTTTTTCCATTTCTTTTATTCTTTTTCTGAGACACGCTATGTAACAAGCTACTGCATGCTCAGTTTTTAAGAGGATCGGAAGTAGTTCTTTCATACCCTTTTACCATATTACAAATACATACAAATATACTTAACATTGCTTAACGTTCTTTGTATTCTGGTCAGACGCGATCAAAATTATGTGCAGTTTGATTGAAATCAAAGATTGAAAATGAGTTATTGGCGTTCACGTGTCACGAATTCGAAATTGCAATAAGTCAGTTTGGCCAGCTTCAACACATTGTATGCATTTATTTTACGCAATATCAGATTTGAATTATATTTACGATATTAAAAAATTGCAAGTTTAAAAATTAGCAAAGCGAGAAATATTTTCGTGCTTTTCGTTGATTGAAATAAAATTGAATTTGTTCACATTTATTTTTGTAATAATTATGAATATCGATATTAATGACATATTTATATCTATAAAATATGCACGATTTAATGAAAGATTGATCAAATCAACTGATATCGGATCTGAATGAACTAAATCGCTTGATTTCCTTTATACAAAAGAATTCAATTACAGCCTTTTCAAATACAACGGCTTAATAACCAGTCCTGATCTCGACTCTGTGTTCCTAACCTTTTTTCTTTTCCCCAACATTAATCAAATTAAAATTCCCGCTCGCGATCGGTGAATAGTTTTTAAGCTATGTAAATCAATTTAGCGTACTTTTTTAATTTTTAGTTATTTTCTTTTTCTTGAATTTAATTTAGCCTTTAACATGGGGAATTAATTATTCGACGGGGAATTAATTTATCGATTTTCCATTATGGAATATATCGAAAATATAGATAGTGTTCTATAATAGATATTATATATCTTAAAACTGATAAATCGAATTTTTATATCCTATAATTTCGTTCATTGTTTAAAAAAACACGGTATTTCAGTGGAAAGTTGTTATAATTGACACGAGTAATAAATATCATAAATTATGTTCAGCCATATTATTATAACCAATTAATATATACGTGTTACAGCTTTATTTATATCGCGATAAACACTTCTAAATTAGAAAATAATTAACGTCTTGTCAGAATTTCTGATAAAATTCGTATTCGTTTCTTAACATTTATAATAAATTCATTAATTTTTTATTTTAACTTTATTTCGCTTGAATGCACAATGAAAAGATATTCAAAAGAAGAGAATTAAAACAAAGAACGCATCGTTTGTCACTTGAAATTCATCATTCATACCTGATGTGTTAACCGACGAGAGACCATTGTGCAGTTTGCAGGCTCGTATAAAATAGAATGCTGCATTAACGTTCAGCCAAGCGTGTCCCAAGAGTGCTCAGTTAATGGGTTAATTCTTCTAAATCTAAAAGGACCCAGTATTCGTAGTAACAGCACAATTAATACACTTTTCGATTATTAACGCCATTAATTTTATTGTCATTTCGTTTTATCACAACTGCGCGCGTTTATCATAATGGCGGCGAAACGAGATCTCGAATTAGAAAAGCGCGGTAAAATTACCACAAACTATACTGTACATATATGCGTGCTTTTCAGGAATATCAACATCGATAAAGTCGTGAAATCGGCTCGAGGGTACTGGTACGGAGAAGAGGCACTCAATTCAAGCACTAGTTACATGTATTGTGCTAATATAAAAAGGGCACTGGTAATTTAATGCGGTTCCTTTCGTTTTCGATAATCACGTGGATCGATTTTCACCATTTTGACTGCGTAATTTTTATTATTCGTAATTTATTTGATACTTATCACCGATTATTTTTATAAATGAAAAATATTATTATGATGCGGTCGTAAAACTACGTGGTAATTGTCATATTTTCGAATCTTTCGCGAAAATTTAATTACGAAAACACAATAATTTGTTACACGTAAAACTCACGTTTACTTCTCGCAAAATATGTGATACACTTGATTGACAATCGTTAGCATATTTGTTAATTTCTATTAAACCGGTGGCGCCTCCTTTGAGTATATTGAAAGAAGTTCAGAATTTCATGAAATAGTAAAAAGGGGGCGTGATGTGGAAAATTTTAGAATCGCTAATAGGTAATCTATAAACAAGTTCGATATTCGGAGGTCGTGTAGTCACTAAAGTTAGAGTATTGATGCTTATTCTAATAAAGGAAGAAAGAATGTGATTTGTGTAAGGATTTAGGCATTTTTATTATGATGTTGTACAATGTTCTACAAACAAACATAAATAAATTTCGTGTATCCATCACCATGAAACATTACTTCTATATCGATGCAATGATCAATGCAACATGCCATTTTTCCCGCGCTTTCGAAGTGAATAGAATCGCCATGTTTGTTCGACTAAAAATAAATGACCGGGAAACGTGAAGTATCATTCCTTACTTGTATCTCTCTGTATGTTTCTTGTAGAAGGTGAAATCGCAGTGATAGAAGGAAAACCAGAAAAGGAAGAAGTCAGTTATTTTGGTGCTAATTAAGTGACGACGTTCATACGTACACGTGTACATATACAACAATCAGCAATAGTGTCTAATTGGCACGGAAACAACACAATCATTCTTAATTAGTTAATTTGCGAAGAGGCTCAACATAGAATGCATCGCAACACGCTCGATTATTACAGGATGCAGTTACTTCTGATCATCTCGGGATAATCATCCTGTCATTTGGCTATTCCCCGAAATCGGGCCAAATCTGGTGAACGAAGGATTACAATACCGCCTTAACGATAATTCGAACAACTTTTCTTCTCTTCTATGACAAGTTCCTACAGTACGTGACCAAATTTGCGACTATGACTAGCGGACAAAGGAATAAGTCCGTAGTACATCCGGAACAGCGGTATGCGTACATGCCCTGTCCGCTTTACGACACTGGTGAGTGACTTTTATCCTGTTTAAAATGCATGCATCATGTTTATGATATTCAAAAATTTATTTATAATTTTTTAAGATCAATTAAATAGGAAACTTTGTAGTTTGAATTCATTTTTCACGTTGAAATTCTAATGAGCGACAATATATATTGACACGAAAAAGAGGATATTTAGTTTTTTCGATATCGTTCTCATAGGTTTCTTATGATTGCTATTCTAGTTACTTGTTATTGAATGCAAAGGAAAAGATCACGTATTTTATAAGATTTCTTTGTCGATTCCTGAAAGTTGCCAGTTAGAATTCGTAATAAAGGAAATTGGGTTTCTATAACGGCCGAATAAAGTTTCAGGTAGAATCGAACACTTCGATTGGTAGCTTTATTACGAGATATTTACTTTGTATCTAAATATCATTCAATTTAACAAAAGTTGACTATTAAATAAGCTTCTTCTCGAGTTTTTAAAGAAGCGTTTATTGTGGCAAAAATGATCATTGGATCTTTCACGTGTAAGAAGTGAAAAAAGAGAGGATGAGAAAAGAATAGAAGATCGAGAAAAATTGACAAAAAAAAAAGTTGATTCATTATTGATCAACAATTGTTGAATTGAAAAGAAAGAAATGATTGCATTTTTATATATTATATGTATCGTTATAATCACTAAATAATTGAAACTATTTGAATGGAAAAGAATTTAAATTTTATTTTCAAGTAATATAATTTTTATAAGGAAAAAAACGAGAAATTTATGAAATATGGAAAATTTCCTATTATAATACTGTTCAGAATCTCAAAATAGATATTCATAAAATTTATTCATTCAAGAATGATATTTTATTCCCTGATGATCGTGTCATTGTAATTTATGACCCCGCATAAATTAAACGATTATGCCGCGGATTATTATTTTCATCAATATTTATTAAATATTTCTATTTCATTTTAAGGTGTACTTCTGTACGCATATCTCATTTGAATAACAAAACTGCGAAGTTTCCTAATTAAGCGCATCAAATCTATACGATCCTTTGTGCATCTTCCAAGCGAGATTTTTTCTTTCATTTTTTTGACTGTACAGCTAAGAGCACTTGTTACGTAACTATTAGCATGAAATTAATTTCTAAAATAAATTGAATTGCATCCATGTTTATGCAAATGTCAAAATTACCAATGCAATTTATCGGTTTTCAAGTATTGTACAAATTTCAAAGTAATTCAAGTTGCTAATAGGCGATCCATTTTTTGCATCAAACTATATAAATCGATAGAATAATTTATAATATGTAAAATTTATACATAATACATTATTAATACCAACATATTTTCAAAGACTTATACTGTCGCTCAAAAATATCTATCTATAATATTACTAAAATCGATGATTGAATATATATCTATTTATGAGCGACAGTGCAATCTTTTTTAAAAAATTTTACAATTTTACATCTTTGAATTCACAAGTAATTCTCCATAGAGACAAAACTATTGCATGTAGTAAATCAATTCGCATGCGACCAATTAAGTCTGAAAATTAATTATAGCGACGAACAATAACCCCGGATGCTCGTGATCCATCAGCGTAACTCCTGCGAGAACGAATATGTCGTCTGATCGCAAATTTGACCGAAACTTTTGTGTCAGTGACATAACTGCAGAACAGCGACGATATTCAATGTCGAAATACGGGCGTTAAAGTTAACCACATATGATGAACGAGGTCCTCGTGTCGAAGTTGGACGACCCTTGAGAGATTTGAAAGTAAAAGGTGGCCAGATCTTTGTCTCATCTCGTTTATGGTCCTCCAGTCACGTGTTTCAAATCATTATAATATTATTAAAAAAAATGTTACCGAAAATTATGATCAAAAAATATTTTAAAAATGATTAATAACGATTCTCTGATCCAATTTTCTATAATTAGATCATTTTTAATTTTTGATGATAATTAAATAACGAAATTCAGATAAATTTTCATCTATTAGTGTAGGTTATTTTTGTATCATCTATCGTAAATGTTGAATAGGATGAATTTTAGATGATGATTAAGAAGATGATTAGTTACACTTCCAAATTTGTTGATAGATTACACCAGAATGATAGAATAATTATTCCTCATTATTCCTCTATTCATGGTAATTGTAAAGTCAATTTACTATTCATACAGAATCAGTAAGTTTAACTTAGGTCAGATCCAATATGTATATACATTTGATCAATGAATGGTCAGCCACACAAAGAGTTCTCGTTTCAATCGGGCAAATTCTTTTGCTCCATAAAATATACGTTTATATAAACGTTTATTGCACGCTTTAATTCTATTTATTATCTATCAAATCAATATTTAACGAATCGTAAGATGCATCAAACAAGAAGAAAATTGATTAATATACTACTCTCTACTTAATTAAAATATTTTATCTAATATTTTCTCATTTTACAATATATATTACAACATTTAAAGTTCCACGTGTATTTTTTTTTTATATCTTTAAAATTAAGAAGCTTATACTTTATACTACTAAACTTTTTACAGATCTAGATTTATCCAAGGAAAAATTATAAAATAATGAAATGCTAGATAGATTATTTAAATTCCCATTAAAATCATCGATTCTATCTATACTAGAGGACACGAAAAAAAGACTTAATCCAATTCAAGTCCGTCCCACGATCAACGATTAACGAGAATCATAGGTGATATTAGAAAATATTGCTGTTTTCAGGTATAATGTTGAATAATGTCGTAGATTAAAGGTATAGGTCGCGCAATTTTAAGTTGTTTCCCCTCCAAGGGGAACAACCACGTATATTTGACGATGCTTGCGATTTGGAACAATTCGTGTCGCTTCATGTTTCATTCACCGTCCGTTTCATTATGCATCACAGTGGTTAGAGAGGCCACGTGTACCAGGATTAATTGCAATTTCCAACGCCTCGTGACACGCCCGTAATCAACACCGTGACGAATGAAAGCGATTGCGAATATCGGATTTTTTTTCTTTCTTTCCTTTTTTTTCTTTTTTCTTTTTTTTTTTTTTTTTTTTTTTTTTTTTTTTTTTTTTTTTTGTTACTTAAAACGATCGAACACGGCCATCGACATTGTCATTTGATTCGTATTTGAATCGCATCCATGTTGTACGAGGTGGGAAGCTTGCTCGAGGGATCGAAAAAGTATTGTTGACTAGATTTAAGATTATGGTGACAGAGATGTTTGCTATGATTTGATATTTATGAGAGTTTGAAAAGTTGATCTTTTATTTTTTTTTAAAGAGTATTCGAAAGAAAATTGATCTGAATGAAGATTTTTTTTAATAAATATTCGAAATTTCACGAAATAAATTTAACTTTCTTCGGAAATCGTGAAGTGATGGAATTATTTTTCTTCAAACTTCGCTTGATTGGGGTTTTTAAGGGTCAGTTTTATTAAAACTGCTGCGTGATAAACTTTTCTGTAAGAAACTTATATTTTCAAATTGCATATTTTAGTTTATGGTATAATTAGACCAGTGTTATAAATCTTTAACATTAATTTACCGATTGTTTCAACATCTCTGATTAATTACACAATCATCTACGCGGTTTTTAGATGATATTAAAATATTTAAAATAGTAGAATGTTACTTATTCGTTTCACATTTTATTTCATCATATTTCTTCTTTTTCCCCGATTAAAATTTGATCGCGTTACGAATCTCTCGAAGTCACGTACAAATCTAAAAGATTCGAGATCTCAACCACCTTTCAATCAAGAGAAACGTTAATTGTCAGGCAGTTTATTCGAACAAGAATCGTAGTCAGATTGCAATCGCGTCCATTTGGTGCACATAAAAGGCAACCGTGTTTCGTTGGTTTGATAAACAGAAGAGAAACGCGTGAATCGTCTAATTAAGGAAACTATCGGTTAACCAACTATCATTCAATCCAAGCGAACTATTTAGCATTGGTTTTGCTCAACTCGAACGCAGATTAAACTATTTAACTAGGCAAACGAATTTCGTCGTTTTCAACGATTTATCGTCGAATAAATCTAACTAACAAAAGACAGAACATATCATCGAACTTATGAAAAGAATTGGTAGAATGTAAAAATGAAATATTCAAATACACTTATGATCTAGATATTTTCAATATTTTATAAAAATTAATTCTATAATAATGACGTGATTGTTTGAGAAAGAGATTAGAATGCATGTGTAAAACGTGCACTAAAAATTTATATTTTTGAGATAATAATTTTATTATTAGATATTCTTAGATTTTTCAAGGAAAAATAATTTTTGACACGAATCAAATAAATTTACAAATGTTACAATTTCAGCAAATATTAGATTCCAGAATAAATAATTTATTCTGCTCATCTGGATGGAATTATTCATTCAGCTAACAATTCGCGTGTTTAACTATCATTTAAATCTGTAATAATTCAAATGAATTTAATTCTTTCAAGATCAATAGAATATTCCAAGATAATTTTTACAACAATTATCATAGAAACTTTTTGGAATTATTAAGAGTCTTATTGGAATATTAGAATCATTAAAAATGAGATCATCTTAAAAATTAGGTTCAGCCAAGCTTTTAATTGGCTATATCGTGTATCATTGTATTTAATATTGTGCATACAACTATGGGGAAATAAATAATAAAAGAATAATAAAATAATAAATTTACTGAATCGCGTGTTTGCTGGTTATAAATCAGATTATCGTATAAATCATGTATCGATAGGTGGCGAGGAACCAGGCCGAGAAATTCAATTCCATCATGTTGCGTTTCGACGTTTCGTTGAAACGTTTTCAATGTTCGAAGCTGCGAATTCTTCCGGTAAAATAATTCGATTTATTTAGAAAAATTTATTATTCAAACAAACGATGTAACATTCCTCGAGATTTTAGGATTTTCGTAGAAAATCGTATTTATGGGGTCGGAAAAGAAGGTTTGCGACAAGATAACATTAACGAAACACTATTTTCGCGGATGGATAAACAAATCTCTCTTTGCGT